GTTTTGTAAGAGTTTCTACAAATCTTGACAAAATAGCAGAAGCCTGTCTTGACTCTAGAAGTTTTGTAAGAGTTTCTACAAATCTTGACAAAATAGCAGAAGCCTGTCTTGACTCTAGAAGTTTTGTAAGAGTTTCTACAAATCTTGACAAAATAGCAGAAGCCTGTGTTGACTGTTCCCTTCTGTTTGTTTTGTCACTTTGTCATAATAATGATAAAAGTTACAGTGTCGGCAAAAACCACAACAACAGCAACACCGCGAACAACGACAACGACAACACCTTCACCACCACCACCACCACCAACAACAACAACAACGAGGACTACAGAACTGCAACGGTGAGGGAACTGCCTGTTAGCCCGGCTCTAGCTATGTGGTGGGTGGCTATACATGGGTCTGTGGTTGCTGGTGGTGAGTGGTGAGTGGACACACACATGGATGGATGGACAGGGCTCAGAGGATGGGCGGGGTGTGACAGAACCGCGTAGAGCCACCCACCGCGTAGCTCGTTGTGGAATTTTCTAGAGTTTGTGAGCAGTGTAGGAAGAGTTGAGAAAAAAACCCAAAACAGAATAGTGGAAGTATATCTTAATTATTATCATGATTAAATCTATTATAATGATCATAATATATTTATTCTGATTCTTCTGTCATGGGCAGTGCTGCCAGTTTCCTTGTGTTCTCCACAGATGTTCATGTGGGTCACAGCGGCAGACGGTGGTTCTTGTCAGTCGTGGTGTGTCTGTTGTCTCTGCCTTATGGCCCTACTAGGTTTGTCCTTCTGGGCTCTTGGAATGTTGTCAGGACACGGCTTCTGCTGATGTCTTACTGTATTGGAAGTTGGAAATATTCAGACAATGTTTTCAGGTGACTTGTGTTCATTTTTCCTCCATCAGGAGTTGTGATAAAAACTGAGGGGCTTTTGCCTTCATCGTAGCTGTAGAAGGAAATGGACCTTATCTAGATTTTTAAAAAATGTTACCTTGTATAAGAAAATGTTTTGTTTGTTGAGTGGCTGTCAGCACGTGGCAGGAAGTTGTGGGTTGTGTCACGGTCGTTGTTTGGATCAAGTTTGGCAGGGATTTGTTGAGATGTCTGTGGTGTGTGTGATTGGTGTAGTAGTAGGCGTTGGATCACACGCCATGTACCGAGGTTTGTTGTTTAGCTTGTGGCCGTGAGTTGGAGGATGAGGGTTCAGAAGCGGTGCGTGTCCTAGTGGTTTCTGTGGGGGTGTTGTCAGGTTTTG